GATAGCTATCTGAGATTTTATCTGACTATTGAAAAACCGGCCCTTAAAGGAAAGGCGTTCGCTTTATGAGCGAAGAGTTAAATTCATGAAAATCATAAAAAAAATTTGAATGTCAATGATGAATAAATTTTGAAAAGGGCTAAAAAAAGGGCTAGGGGCAATTTCAAATTTTTGTGGCCAAAAAAAGAATTTGGTAGCCAAATTTAGCCACCAAAGGGCTAAAACGGCAACACTGATTATGTAGCCTTCCTCACTTCACCTCAACTTAACTCAACTCACCTTATCACATCTAACCTACACTTAGCTCAACTCAACTAACTTCAAATCACCCTAAATAACTCAACTTACCTTAACTAACTTCAAATCACCTCCTTTCAATTCACCTTAACTCACCTCATCTCACCTAACCTTAGTTTAACTGAACTGAACTGACCTCATTTCAGCTCAGCGAAGGGAATCGCAAAAATATTTAATTTTAATTGAGTAGCGAATCAAACCACAAATGAAATGGATTTTTTGATGTGTCACAAATAAAACTGATTAATCGAAATGTGAGCCGATCAATTTAAAATCACTCGATCCTGTGTTACGCATGTTATCTTAGGTTACATAAGGCTCCGTAGATATAAACCTATGACCATCAAGATTATGAAACGATGAACAAATAAATCGAGAGAAACCTCATTTTCGTAGCACGGCCCAAGCGAACTCACCTGTATCAGATTTTGTAGACCAAAAAGAAATGAGATAACGCACACGAACAACACTACAATCTCGTGATAGCCCAAGTGGCGTTTAATCCAATTTGGAAAACCAGCCTGTATGGAGGTCACGACCACTTCAACAATGGCAAACTACAAAGAATAAAAATAAAAACAAAAGAAAACATCATTACGTTTTCAAATAAAATTCGCCTCGTCTTGCATGGACACTCACCTGCGAATTGAGGCCCAAACATAGTAGCATGAAGAAAAACATCACCGCACATAGCTGTGCGTATGGCATTTTTGCCATCGCCTGTGGATATACCACAAATATCAAACCTGGCCCATCGCTTATCACGTCGCGTACATTCGTGTTTTGTTCCAACGCCAAATTTCCCAGAGTCGCAAATGCAAATACACCCACCAATAGACTAGTTAGCATATTCACAACGCTTACAGCCACCGTATCGCGTACAATGTTGTTATTGTATTTGTTATAACTCGCAAAAGAGATCATTGAGCCGAAAGTAATGCCGAGTGAGTTGAAATTTTGCGATGCAGCATTTATCCATACATTGGCATGTTTCAATTCGGACCAATTTGGTTGAAAGAAGTAGCGTAAACCCTCATCGGCACCTTCGAGCGTGACCGCACGTACCATAAGTATGATAATTAGTATGAAGGGGAAAGTGGCGGTGAAGTAGCGTACCTGAGAAAAGAAAACAAATGGGCAATTAGTTGAAATATTAGCGAATCCGTTTAGAGGATAGAGTGAGATACTTTAATAAGGCCAAAATTTGTATCCTTATATATATTCAGTTACCACTAAATAATACTTTGTCTATATAAAATATTTACACAAAACGCCTCAAGCTCAGTAAAATATGTTGAACAAAACGCTAAGGTCAAAAGACTAATCCATTCTCTCTTCGAAGAATAAAAATGAAAACTATAAAGTAGTAGGAAGGATTGTTGTTGTAGTAGCAGTACTAAACCCCTAGTAGGAGTCATGTCACGTTGTGTGCTCTTCATCCTTTCACTCGGCAAGCCAGAGGCCGAGGAAGCGGGCGACGTCGATGGGTATAGTCCATAAGGCTTCCGGTGTTAGGGTCGTCGGGTTGGAGGTGCATGCGAAGTGGTGTTGGATGTTATGAGAACTAGAGATGGGCACGATTCAAATCCGATCCCGCCTATCCCGAAATTCCATGTTTAAGTCCCGAACCCGCTCATAGCGAGGTTTTTCAGGATTGTACCGCGGAGAGTTTTTTCAGCACCTGTATATAGATTCCATCATATCTAACGCCTTAGTTTCTTTGGCGTTGTTGACAGCGGCCTGTGTCTCTCTTGTTGCAAAGTACGCTGGTGATTCATGCGGGCGGAGTTTGCGCGCTCGTTCGAGGGTCCAATGGTGTGGTGTTGCCGGCAACAAGAACAATATTGTCCTTATATTTCACCGGATGGGAAGAGATTTTATTGTTGGCCATAGGTTGCCAACTTCGCTCATGTAAATAGGTTGATGCGAGGACCACTAGATTAGCCTGTCAGATTCGATCACGCATGTCTGTCAAGAAGAGTTGAATATGATCTTCCACTAAAAGCCGCCACAAATCAAAGTTTAAGGGAATCAAAATGGTGGTAGAAGCGGAATATGGGGCACACAGCGTTACGACTTCCACTAGGGAAGAATGGAACGACAACTCAAAAACTCAAAGTAGAAATAGTAGTTGGCGCTGGTCTCTATTGGGAGAACTTGCAGATCAGGCCTACCTAACAATTGAAGTATCTTTCAAGCGGGGATTTTTGCCATAGAGAAGACTCTATCAGGGAAATTCATTTGTATAACTCTATAACATCAGCTATTTGTAATACTTGTTGAGTATACTACAGCCGAAACAAATGACCTATTGACCATCCGAGGCAATTGCAAAGTTTTCATATCCTTATTATAACCAATACTTAACAAGAAACGGTCTGACGAATTGTTGGTGTTAAAAGTTTGTAATAAGAAAGTAGGAAAGAATTCACTATTTCCTATGCCAATATCCAGCTCTCAAGGAAAAGACGATCTTGGGATCTCGCGTTTCATCCGCTTGGTAAAGACAATGAAAGTGAAGCTATCGGACCTATCAAATTGAGCAAATATACCTCCGAGTAGAAGTATAAAGACCTCACTTTGTAATCTGAACTAACCCTGAAATCTATGTAGTCATTTTACTTTAAATTTTTTCTTGCATTATTATGGTTGCATTTTAATTTACCTTCGCCGATGATTTGATCGATTTCCATGTAGCGAAGTAGACCATAAGCCAGGCACATATGAGACAGACAAACAATTCCCAACGCATTGCACCTGGATACTCAATACCAGGGCTGATTTGTAGAACTTTGTTTCTGAAAGTAATTACATGAATTTAAAATATGAACAGTGATGTTTCATTTTTTTTCAATAAAAAAATTGCCGAAAACTAATTTTTCTTACTCGAAAAACTCTTCTGATGGTGTGCGTGATGTGTTTGGTGCAAAAGCATCTTTGAAAGGTCCTTGCGATACCCAACAGTCTGGCGTGTTCCACCTAAAACAATAGTAAAAAAGGGGTTAAAATATAAGAGTAAAAAAATATAAAATAAAAGAGTGTCAAAAAGTTCTGATCCTCGAAGAACGCCAAATGTTTACAAATTATAGAGGAAAAAGAAAAATGTACCTGTTATTGCAATCAATCCATGGCATGTATGGTCTAAATGATGCGAAAAAGTAATAAATTGAATAACCTATGATGACACTATAATAGGTGGACATTAGGAATGATACAACTACACTAGCAAGACCAGCGCCTGAAAGCATACACAATTAAAGAAAAGCAATTTAAATAAAGTAACAATTAAGAAATAAAATTAACAAATAAAATGCTCTAAACACGTTTTTCCATAAACTCCTGAGTTAGAGCTCTGATATGACGGCTTCAAGTAGATGCCTTCAATATGGCCTAAAGAAGTAAAATGCCTTCTGAATTTTTTTGAACTGGACTGAAAATCTACAAATCCGAAATAAGAAAAGCTCCCTTGGGCTACCGAGAGCCGAGACAGGACTTTGAGCAGGGGAAAATCGCTAAAACATTGATGGCATTTTTTTTGAATTCCATACCCGGGGCAAGGTTGCACTTCTATCGACCTGCTGGATACGTCACCGGACATGGGCGATAAACTCGTTCAAATACTTCTGCTTCGCGGGATCGCACAGCCTGATTCCTGCACAGCTGCAAGATTTGGAGGTGTTGCTGACTCCTATATATATGCCAATTGTATGAGTCGAGGCTATATTCCCAGAGCTTGAAAAGTCGTCAAGGAAGCGCTTATTTCGCGGACCAGAAAGTGTTTTCATGTTTTATCTAAGGACGCTAAGACACTGATATTTATCTGCACATAGGAGACGAGTTTCTTCGATCGTATATTTAGAGCTCAACGAACTAACAATGAAGGAAGGTCTCTGCAGACTGCTCTACTGACCATTCTAAAGTGTATAGTGGAAGCCTTCGTTCATAAAAAATTTAGCACTAGGGTCCTTCCTCGACATGGAGCGGGCATTTAAGGACGCCCTACCGCAGGAAGTAATAAAATTCGCAGATAAGCTCGTGTTTGAAACTAACCTAATAAGGCTCATGTATTGCAAGCTTGGGAATCCCTTCTCA